TGCAACCTTTATTGACAACCCTGCATTAAACAATTATTCCACAGTTAAGTCTGCAACCCCTCCTGAAATACTCCAGGATACCAAAAAAAAAAAAACAACAAGCAAACAAACATATTAGTGAAGTGAGCAAACAACCACATGCGTGACTTTCACGTAATCTAAAATTCGTGATTGCAGCATTCCCACGTGCGTAAAGTGCTTGTAACTTATGGGAAACACACGCATGTTACACCAGAAAAACCCGCGTGTAGCAGAAGAGGCCGATTACTCGCAACTTCTCGTAGTTTTGAATTTCCCTTTTGTTTTTCAGAACACCCATATACCTGTACTTTTTTACACCGATGCGATAGAAATTAATTGGAAAAGCATTCCTTGAAATAGGAAGTCGTCCTGTATTTTCAGCGAAAAAGATCGTCAAGTGATCAAAACAACACCGGCCAGATTATAGTCACGTGCTCGGCAACGACTTCTTGAAAGCGATCATCTTTCATTCTTACCATCAAAACAGTCACGTTTGCATAGAAGAATAACAAAACGAAACGATTACAACGGAAAGACCCAAATTGGCGTAGAAAGAAATAATGCTGCAAATTACCATTTTTTTTATGTCATGGGTACATGTTTCCGTGGGAATTTCTGTGTCAACAGCTTGCTGTCACTCACAAAGTCTTCGTGATTCTCGCTGGTCCTCGTTATGTTTAGCGCATGGACGATTCGAAGACCCTTCAAATTTGGTTTTTAAGTTGATCATAGCACTAATCTGAAACATTTGAAGTCCATTTCAATTTAGTAAATGTCGAAACAGGCGTGTAAAGACAATAAATATCGCAACGATCAGTGCAATCATAATAGCGCCAGGACTTTGGACTTACTTCTTCGGAAGGATAGATCTCGAGTTCGAAGCCGACTAATTACGACTAATTACGAAGAGTCCACGCTAATTTGCATATCGCAGAGCGCCCACAAGAACTCGTTTCTACGCTATCGTGTATCCACGAGTTAAACAGTAGTTGCAGAAATTTTTTCAATTTTTTTTCAATGACTGTTACGAAAATATTTACTGTTCCAAGTATTTCCAGTATTGCCGTATAAACAAATAAATAGCCTAAGCCACCAAGAGGTAATTTAATTGTTGAAGACGATTACCAAACGTTCAAAAACACGCCAAAAAGCTTCCAGGGAGGGAGGGAAAGGCATATTGCTTGATAAAAGTATAAGTTAATACCCCAGATCTCTCCTGTGAATCTGTATTTGTTCAAATAATTCCCGCACAAAAATTACTATTCAGGCTGTTGATTCCAGGCCTAATATCACCCCTGTAGTACAGTTGACTCACGGTGAGCGACAGGTTTCCTTCCGCTCAAAAACCCCTTGCAAACACTTTGTCAATGAAATCCCACACAAGTACGCATTGCGGACCTATTTTTATATTACCTGATGTAATGTAAAAACTAATTGTTGAAGAAAATATTTAACAAATGAATGAATCATTTAGAATCTGGTCTGCCGTAAAGTATGCCGGAACTGTCCAGAGCAAGGAAAAAAGGTCTAGACCTGATCGGGTGTCAAATTACTCCTTCAGTTTTGCTCTCCAGAGTACGCCATTAACTTTTAACATATTTTAGCAATGATAACAAATTGGAAGAACTTTGTGTATCATTTCCTTGTAAACAACCTGTATTTAATCACGTATTCTAACCGCATCGTCCAACCCCACTGGGAAAAAAATTCAAATGGAACCAAATGCTACTGATAGTAAATTTTCCACGCAATTCTCCCGTGTTTTGACTTTTTCTACGAATATAATTCGGTTTTAGCTACCTTGGACTTGACCCAATCGCGTGTTAATTCCTTGTTATTAAACTGCATTTTATCACATGTCGCACATAGAGGGCGAAGTCCAGATAGGCAACAACCAATCAAGGAGCCTTCTTTGTAATATTGTCCTTTCTTCTTGTTCAATGTATCTTGACCTATTCGAGATCGCAATATATCTTTGGTTAGGGTCTAATACAGTTAAAACAGAGTTTCAGTTTGCTTTTCGTTGTAAAATACGTGGAATTTTATTTCTGAGGCAACTAACTGTTGACGAATAATTTTGATTTTCACTCTGTTGTAGGAACGGCAGCAAGCGTTGTCCCTTTCGCAACCGTTTTTTGGTCTGTAATTGAGTGTTAACAACTGGGTTGAAAACGTAAATTAGCCACCGTAAAGGGTAAAAAAGCTGACGCAATCCAATCGCTCTGACGAAGGGCTAATTCTCGAAACGTCAGCTTTTTTACCCTTTACGGTGGCTAATTTACGTTTTCAAACCAATTGTTAACACTCACTTACCTGCTATACTCTCCCACCGACGCAGCACCACAGTTTCTTTAGAAACTTACCCCTTCATTCGTTTTTTGGTCTCTCTCCGACGGGGAATAGATAGCGTCAAGACCAAACAATTCACAGCGTCCACAGTCACAGAAGTTTCCTTTTGGAAATGTCAAAAACACTTCCGTCCTTTAATGATTTAGTTTAAACGAAAACCGTCCATTTTTCATGACTTTAAATGAAAACTTATATAGGCATAGATTTAACAATGTCTGATTTTAAGCAAATTGTAGTAGTTCTTGAGATAATTAATTATAACTTTTTGCCATTGATGATGCGTAACTTTCTCTTTTCGGTGACTTTCTAATACTCAAAGGCGTACACGATCTTAAAGCAACTTGATGGAGATAACCAAAGGTAGATGTTTAAAGACCGTCACAAACATTTAAAAGTGCGTTGAGTTTCATTTCTCGAACCACGGCCTTTAAACCAAGTAAGTTTTAGGTGTTTTTCACGTCCTGTTGTGCTCCACCAGGCTAGCTGATACAGCTTTCACAGCTTTAAAGATCAGGATAATTGACCACTTGACATTGGTACGAGAGTGTTTTTCGAAATGCCGCAGGAGTCTAAAGCTGCTTTTGTTTATTTGAAAAGGGCACATCATAACTCGCGCTCTCTTTTTTCTTTTTCTTTTTACATACATGTAATTGACTGTTTCTAGATTACCGTTTGGTTCACTATGAAAAGAGTAGTAAGAGTTAGTCAGAGTAAGCCTTTCACAATCATCAATATACTGAAGTCCTCGACATGTGTCTAAATGAATGCTTCATTTGCTGTATATGATTAACTACGCATTAGTAAGCTTAAGGTTTCATGTTATTCGATCATTTTTGCTTAAGCCGAAATCTTTTCATTTTCATTTTTACCTCTAAAGAAATACATCCTATTTTTAACTTCGTAGAAAACAATTTTGGCCATTTCTATCCTGATTTAAAGTTGGCTAACTGACACATGCCTGATTGTTTGCAACCGACTATGCCGCATTGCTTGCCAATTTCACGCGTAAGAAGTTAGCTTGCTAAGTATTTTCCATTTTAACGTAAAGCTCAGCACCTGCCTCACGTTTTCTGATGATTGATTAGACAGAAGATAATTGAGTCAATCGGATATCATACTTTTGTGGCTTTGGGCTTAACTTTTAATTCTTTTATGTAACAAAATTGCCAACAGGAAACACATGTTGTCTGAAAACTCCTTCTTAGTGGCGTTTGGTTGATACGGTTTTTAAAATCAGACGAGAATTTAACAACATTTTTAACATGGAATTTAACATGGTACAAACAAGTCTTTAAAGATTTTCTTCACTATTTTTTTGCTTCATATTCTTTTCAATACAACCATGATTGAAAAATCATACTCAACAGAAATAAGAAATTTAACTAAGTTGATAATGAAGTCATGTCACGTCAATACATTGATGCATAATCTTGTGTCGCCATTAACAATCAGTGAAGTGACTCTAAACAAAAGGTTACACTGATGTAACGCAACTAATGTTAACACTTTCTGATAAAACTTGCATATATTAACAAAGAAAAAGGTCAGTGAGACAGGTTACGCAGAACAACTAACATTTAATGTGATAGAGTGAAGTATAATAACAGGGAAATACTGAACGATTGCTAAAAGGAAACTTAATATGAAAAAAGAAATAAAAAACAAGGTTACACTAAATTGTATTAGCACAAGATCTCCCACTCGAAGTTTGGAGAGGTTATTTTTTCACACTGGCCAAAATCTTATGTAGAAAAAACTGTTTGTTTGGACTTCAAGTTCCTGAATTTTGAGACAATTGGCTATTTTACAATGATGCCACATCACGACTGACTCAAATACCTTTTTTCAACTTCTGCGAAGCTCAACTGATCTCTAATGAAAGAGAAAAAGGAAAAAAAGGAAGAATGTTTTCCTATTAATACATATAATACATATAAAGAAAAGGGCGACACCAGAAGGCAACAACCCTCATAATGGAGAGATAGATCACGCTTTAGGAAGGTCTTAATCAGCTAAATAAAAGAAATATCTTTGAATCCTGTCACAAGTTAAACATTAAGTGAACCCAGACGACAAATGTGCTTCAGTCATAAAACGGTGACTGTGCGAATTGTTTGCTCTTAAATATACAGATCTATCACATCATGAAGTTCCTCCAGAAACACAAAGTGAGTTCAACTTAATTATTTATTCACCTATTATAAAAGGTTATCCAGTTGCTCCTAAATCCCTTCCTTTCTATATCGCATTTGTAAATGTTCAATTATCCGAGAACGTTCAATCAAGACCGAAACTATTGGTGACGAGTATTGGTTCTGTTTTTAAAAAGAAAAGATTGATGAGGTGGAGGCTGGCTGATAAAAAATTACACAAACATGTGTCAAGTTGTAAACGGAAAGAAGCAGTTTAAAGTTTACTGCGATAGCAGAGACACTTTTGACCAAAACACAGTGGGTATCAGGTAATTTTCAAGTAGTAACAATGTCGTACTAGTAGAAAAATAAGATCAGCGCCTTCGTTTATTGTTTGTTTCTCAGGGATTTCAAAATAGTTATAAAATGGTGACTAGATTGCGTAATAAAATGCAAATGACAAATTAGATTTTAATAAAAATCTTTTATTCTTTGCACACTTAAGAAATTAGATTCATCGAAAGATTCAATAATATCATTGACAAAAGAACTAAATCCACTTGATTTGGCCACTCTTTAAAAATTCAGAACTCTGTGAAATCAACATACAGTCAAGACCATCTCTCCATGAAACACCGTTTGTCTTGATTAGTTGTGGAAAGAAAATATAGATTTTCATCAGAGCAGTTGGCACTAACTCCGAGGTACAACGCCTGATTGGTACTCGAGGTGTATTTGTATGTAAATCTTCCGGCGGTATTTTTCTCTTCCTTGAATAAGAAGTCGTGGCTGGTTGTTGTATCGCACGCTGACTGTTCCTACAAAACAAAAAATTTAACATTTACTTGTAATTTTTAATGAAATAACTTCATTTGACCTGCGGATGAAAATCAAGCAATCCTCGCAAGTGAGCTGCAATTTACGCAACTGCAGAAAAGAAGCCTGAAAAAAAAATCAAATGTCTTGTTGAAGCCTGAATTTTTTACAGTCCTCTTCTCTGCATTTGCTTATTGACACATAATTTTTCAGTTTATTTTCTTTTCTATTGTTATCAACTTTCTTATTATCATCGTAATCGTCGTCGAGATTATCATTCCATTAAAAGTTGTTTGTCGGTTAAAGGTCTTGATTGAAATCTTTCCCTGTAAATGCTGGCCAGCCGGCAAAATAAAACATATTTATGAAAATTTACAACGAAGCCAAATAAGGATTTATCAGTCGACTCATCACGCAACCAATAGGATAGCGCCCGGCGTGAGAGGGCTGGATTGGAGAGTACTACCGCTCAATCAGATTGCAGAATTTGTAGAATACCGCCCGCTTATGCATAGAGAGCAAAATAATAGTATTTATTATTTTTCAATTTTTATCATTACCATAACCATAAGTTGCTTATGAGTAAGGAGCAAGAAAATAAGGAAAAGACAAGGACTTGAGCACTTGTAATAGACCTAAACGATCAACCTAAATAGGTTCTGCTTTCCTTATGTATAAGCAATCTAAACTCACCTCAAAAATTACGTCCGTCCCATTTATGACTTTCAACGAATATCTGATGCTTCCGTCATCAAATTGAATACACTTCTTACTTTTGTACTTCGAGATCTCAAATCCTGCAAGATGATAACCATATCAATAAAAAAACGAATTTGGAAGGACTTCGACAATCCACTACTGTTATCATCATCGAATCAGCTAGTCGCTGTGGAAGACGACATTGCTTTTCGTGCAGATGATTTTTTGTAAATACATGTAAATATGTCATCCCTAGTGCTTTGTATTCTGCAAATCTGTCATCAATGCCATCATTTACACATGATATATTATACTTCTTAGTGCAAAAAGAAATATTGGAGACTTTTAAAAATTTTCCTGAGCTATATTTGTTGCTATCCTCGAGGGATCGAGCATTCAGGACAGCTTTGGCCGTCAGTTATCGTTCATGGCAGAATTGACATTGGTGTGTTTGGGAAATATCAAAGAAAGTGGCGTAATTTTTGGAGAAAGGCTCAATCACCAAAGCTCTATAACCGTTTCTGAAATGTTGCGTCTGACACTAACTTGGTGAGCAATTTTTAAAGCGAAATCGATACCAACTCCGATCATGTTATCGTCATTTTAACAGAATTTTATATTATCATACATATTATCATATTTAGAATAAGAGAGATAGTAAGTTTTGAGCTCGGTAAAAAAAAAGAGAAAGATGGTTTTTTTTGGGACAATTAGGAATTAGGAATCGAACCTCAGACCTTCGGATTCCGTGCTCTAATGCTCTACCACTCTTGTCACGCTATCGACATTGCGGATGCTAGCAGTATGCAGGATGCGTTTCATATGAACTTCGTCAGGAGCCCATTACATATAAGTGATGGGCTCCTGACTTCGTGATACACCGCGCTCACCGTGGAGTCTCTGTGGCTCAGTGGTAGAGCATCGGAGCGCGGAATCCTAGGGTCTGAGATTCGATTCCTAATGAGGACTCAGAATTTTTTCCTTGTTCCACGCTCGTGACAAGACGAAAAAACATCGGTCTCTATTATCATATTATTCACGCATCTGCTAAAACTGTCATTAACTCAATATTAAGCTCGACTTTTGTCCCAACACAGCTTGGTCTCAACTGAAATATTTGTGAGTGGACCAAATTTTACAACTACTGCATTGGTTTGACATAAAATGAATAAAAATTATCTTAATGGCGAGTGACTCAACGTACTCCTCCTAAATGGCACTTTAATGATAATATAGAGATTCCTTGCGAGAGGAGAGATGGGTACGGTTGTGCAAGCTGGCATCTGTGACTTAAGGAAGATTATTCAATGAGCTAAGGTAAAAGACCAAGGCGAAGAAACAAACAAGAAAAAAAAAAGTTCTGAATTTGTTTTCTCTTCACTGAAAATTTTGCGGGTTATAAAGTACTTGGATGCATATATCTGACTTTAAACCTTCAAATGATATGGAGCCTAAAATTTAATTGTTTTCTTAGTAATATCGTAGTGTCAAAAGGTACAGCCATTTTAAAACTCCTGAACAATGAAAGCTACAAGAACTAAGCTACAAATCTTTTTCAATGATAGTGTATATTGTAATCATGTAATACCCACTTGTCTGTTGGTCGAAAGTGCCTCTGCCATTGCAGTAAACCGGACACTGCTTCTTTCCGTTTACAACTTGACATTGGTTTGTGTAAATCTTTATCAGATTTCCTCCACTAACGCATGTCTCTCTTTTAAAAGACGAACCTATGCTTCTTACCAGTGGAATGTGGCTCGATCCTGTTTTTTCGTGTGATAGCACAATTACAAATGCAATCTGGATAGAAAGAAATTGAAAAATCCGCGTTAGAGGACCACTCGAGTACCTTTTACGGTTCTTGAGTAAGTCGGCCGCAATTAGAAGAGCTTGATAATGCATTAGACGCGAAAATTTGACAACAAAAGGTTGTACAGTCACAGTACGATGAGCAACTTTATTCTCTGCTTGACTGACTTCTAAGAGGCTTTTTCTTTCACCTATTGCTTAACTTGGATTTTGCCCCCCCTTTTCTATTTCATACCGATTGAGCTTAAAAAACGTATTACAAGAGTGTATAATTCAGTTCATGAAGTATCATGGTAACATCGCCAATTCTGTCAAAGTTTAAGAACCTAAAGTCAAAAAGGAGATACACAAAAACGTCGGCCAGTCTGAGAGAAAACTTCGATTGAAAGATCTGGTGAAAATAAAACTGTTTGCCTATGTTTTTTTTCTGTTCTTTTTTTAAAAGTGACTTCAATTTACTTTCCATGACCTGGTAACTGACACCTTGGCATCTTACGTGTCATTTCCCACATCATCGACTTGTTATTAGTTAATATGAGGAAGATTATAAAAACGTGCTGACAGCTGAGTGTTGAAACGTGACCGCACCATTCTATTCTAGAATGCTCCTCCGCAGAGTTTCGCAGGAGGAGTTGGAAATGTTTAACTGTCATCGGTTTTACCCAATTAGATAATCGTTATCTTACCTAATGAATGTAAGTGATGCGAAACTCAATATAGCTGAAAGAACATATATGATTTTTGAGATCGAAACGTTCCGATTTCTTAAAGTGGGAGCAAAGATTAAGAAAGATCTTGTTAGTGGGACATGCGTTCATTTGTAGACTTGAATCTGAAATCACGTCTATGATCTGCTTGGAACTCTATAGCAGTGAAAGAAGAAAAGCCTCCAAAACTAAATAAGATTTGTGGATTTGTTCGAAAAATGAAGCTTTGAATTAGCGAGTCTTTTTCTATTTTATACCAACGTGATTTAAAAGACAATTGTTAAAAAGAATTACAATCTATCTGAATCCAACTTTTATTTAAAAAGCAGCTCAGAGAGGGCTGTTTGGAAAAAAAGGCAAGCGAGCTTCGAGAGTTGGAGGCAACGCTTCAATATTGGTGTGGTGCATCAAACCCCATCCTATCCTTCTCCAGTTGCGTAACGATTATCGCAGACTTTGTTTCCGAAAACACCTAAAGGAGAAAGAATAACTAATTCCCCCTTGACCAATGCTTTTTTTTCTCACCCAGGAGAATTGTTACAATTACATCTGTGATAACGTTTGCGAACTGCTACACCCTTCCATGTTAATCAGTGATTGCAAACGAACTCAGCGCCACGAATAATATTATAATTAGAGATTCAATTTTGTTACTCTATGAAAATAAAAGTCAACAAACCCTTGATTTACTCACTAAAAAAACCTTTTTGATGTCCATTGTTCTCCACCCTCAGGAATCTATTAGAGATCGTAGTACTCGCAACAAAGCTAAGTTTTGCAATAAAAATTTGAAGGCTCTACACCCGTTTTATACCGTTTGAAGGGCACGTATCTTAGAAGGTCCTAATTGACTTCTCATGCCAAAAAATGTTAAGAATGGATGGTATACTCTACACACAAAACGTGTAGAGTAAAAGGGAAACCTTGAGGATAACTCACAACTAAATCGCGCCTTTCCTAATAAACTTTTATCACGCTTTAACCACTTCCTGAGTGATTTACAGTAGAGCCTCACATATTCACAGCTTCTTTATTCAGTAGTTGAATTTTGCCGAGTTTCAACTGCTTACATTCCGTCATCTGCAAACTTTTTCCTATAGTTCACACAGTTTTCTAAGATAGTGCAGCTGAAAGAACGTGAACGGTTTTTTTTGTTTTGTCGTATTCAAATTCAGCTACTTTTCGTGACAACTCCCCGCACACTCCCCGCACTTAGTTTAGAGCGCTTGTTCGTTGTCGGTTGGGGAAATCCGCCAATTGAATAAGTTGGCCAAATTATTTTGTTTGAAAATACGCCGCACTGAAAAACTTAACCAACACAAGAAACGACGGAACGCCTAACTAACCGATTGAATTACAGTCTTAAGCCTGCTCACTCAGAGAGTTACAAATTTTAGTCCAATATGAAGCTTCGGATTGTGGAAATAAATGGAAAGAAGACAGCAAAACAAAACGAAACAAAAAACAAAGCAACAAAAAGAAAAAACAAGAATAAAAAAAAAAGCAACAATAAAAAAAAAAAAACAAACAAACGCAAAACGCTGGGATAAGCGAGAGATTAACGAAAGTAACACCCACTCTTTTTATTCAATTATGATTCGACTTAAGAGATTAAATTAATTGCCTCTTAAAAATGATAACTTCTAGCCCTGATAACGAAGGTCAAAAGACACGTAACTTGTTCTTAACAATGTTCTGTTCAATAAATTTGCAGTCCTTAAATTTCCACGATAACAGTTATTTTTGAGATCAATAACCTTTTTATCCGCAACGTAACAGCCACGATGAATGATTCGCCGGCATCCATGATTTTAGGATTCATTCGCCGCTATCCCAGTCGATATGTTATGGTGAGATCGCATGGAAGTTGTTTCCTTTGCCTTGCACGTGCGACAACAAGGATTATGATCAATAACCCTTATTTCGTTCTCGAGTGGGCGATGAGAGGTTGTGTGGGTGTCATCTAGATAGATAGATAGATAATCTTTATTTTCCCACGGACAATTCATCAGCCATAAAAACATTCAAATATATAAACATGCATAAAATGGGTAAGATACAATAAATGCTATACTTAAAGTACAAACCTAACTTTAGCTGCTTTCCATAACCCTTAAATAACCCAAGGGACTCTGCTTGTCTTATGTCACGAGGAAGTCTATTCGAAAGAGTGGTGCCACTAGAGCTAAAGCTATTTTTGTAATAGTTTGTGCGCGGTAAAGGAACATTAAGCTTATTCTCAGAGTCTCTTAGGTTATACGCAGTTTCTCGCCTTTCATATTTAGAACATAAATAATCTGGAGCTAAACCGTGCAGAGACTTATAGACCATTATGGCTCTTTGTATTTGCTGCTGGGAAGCTAGGTTTTTCCATCTCAGGAGCTCAAACAAGTGACCAGGTGCCTTATTCGTTTTATAGCCCCAATGCCAAAAGCGACTTTCTTTGTTAGTTTATCGACATGACTGCTCCAATAGAGTTTGTTATCGATGGTCACTCTAAGTAATTTTGTGGTGGTGACTTGGCTAACTTGATTGTCATAAATTGTGATCGTCGGAGAAACTGCGAAAGTACTTAATCTCTACCTTGAACCGATGCGCATAAAATCGGTTTTAGTCATATTTAGATTAAGTTTGTTCGCTCTCAACCGATCTGATCCGACAGACTCAGATATTTCTGTTATTCTCCTTGATTCTCTCCAGCAGAGATATTTTAGTCATGTTTATGTCAACTTTGCCACACACACAGGGAATTTTTTAACTATATTATCTTATTTAAGTGGGTTAATAGCATCTTTGGTTGTAATAAGTACGATATTAGCATCGTTTTGGACTTCAAAACAACGCATATGCCTCGTTGTTCTAAGCAACCATAGACATATTGACATGTGCTTTAAAATCGGTCGAGTGTTAAGCATTTCTGAGCGCTTTCCTGGTCTTTTTCGATCTCCCTTCTAATAAAGAAGAAAGATAATCACTCGAAATGATATCAGATAAAAGATGTCTCTCCGTCTTGAGATGACAGAGGGTTTTTTCTAGGAGAGATTCCACATTTCCTAAAGGTTGAAAGATGGTGTAATTTCAAATTATTTATTTCATATATTGAAAGAAGTTCTGTAGATGAGACGAAAATCTAAACATTAGAAAAAGTTAACAACTTTACATTTCAAATATTGCATTCATAACTAATGATGCTGTTGGGATAATATTAGGGACCTCAGCTAAACCGGTAAGAGTGTGTGGCGACAGGAACATTTATGAGCAGAAAAATAGTGCTGCGTTTGAAACCTCGTATCTCTCCTAGCCGTTCACTGCTGTTCATCCGTTGTCATAATAACCGCAACGTTTGTTGAGTCTGAGAAGAAGTGTAAAACTTATTAAAAATTATTTACCTTACTATTTAGCTGCCCTCACATGCCATTTCGCAGGCCAGGTCGAAGAAACATTGAACATGAATTTGGTTCCTAATAAGAAAAACTTTGAAAACTGAACTTTAATCATGCTACACCATTTTCATTCATTCAGAAAAAAAAAAACTTTAAGCTGTTGACTTTTGGCGTTGTTTCAGTGATTGTGATTTAATGTCTCCCTTGGAATTATAGAAAATTTTTTGCGCAGGGAGATCCTTGTTATTTTTTTGATTCATGCGGTTTTAAAATTGTTTTTGTTTTCCTCTTCGTGTTTGGTTCACTTTGAGAATTCAATGACTCTGACCTTGCTTTAACAAACGCTTGCCAAAGCTTCTATACAGCTGGGAATATTAAGAGATAACACCGGTGGTAATTGAGATTTTGAGAAAAATCCTTTAATCTAATCATTGGCATTAGCGACACGGTTTCATTTGCCTTGCCAAGACGGGCACATGGACAGGAGATTAGGTTTAGCAGCGGTATCATGGACTTTTAATTTCGTAAATCGATTCAGTTCTATTTGTCATTTATCTAGATAAGAGGCTAAGCGAAGGTTGTAGCTCAAGTTGTTCCTCGAAGAAACAACTGAGTAAGGAACGTGTATGTGCAAGGAATTCCTTCTGTCAACCACACCTTGTAAAGATTGTCATGTTTGTGAGCTTTACCATAATCTTAAGCTCTGCGCAAAAACTTTCGCAATTCCGTGAACGCAATTTCTCACCTTTTCCCCTTGAAGCCTGTTATTAACAAATTAAGTACAAAAGGATCAGAGGAGAAGTAATCCATCCTTTCCCCTTGAAGCCTGTAATCAGCAAATTAAGTACAATAGGAATATAAGAGCGTTAATCCATTACCGGCCTTATTGTTGTACACTGTACATGAGCCATATTCGATCATAATTTGTGTTAATGTTCTTCTACAAGCAAAGTAACATAATGTGACTTGCCGCGTGTTTAAGAAAACAGTGAAAAAAAAAAAACGGAAAGCTTTGAAAAATTATGAGAAGCATCGAAACATGATTGCATTTGTCCCAAGTAGAACCGGAAGCAATTCCTGAAAATTGAAACATCAATTTAAGTGTGGAGAAATGTCAGATGTCTTGATGGGAGTTTTCATTAAAATCTCTTCAGTGTATATATTCCTTATCTATTCATTAAGATAATAACATAGCTATAATTGTCTTGAAACTAATAGTGCTTTAAAAACAACTTAATTTTGTCCTTGAAATATATCCTGTTTGTTTCACTTATGCTAAGGCTAAGTTTTAGGGTTAGAGTCGTCATGTCTTATTGAGGAAAGCCAAAGATATCGAAGGGTAACTCACATCTCTGTCATTAAAATGCAACAATGATCAATAAAAATACAATGTTTTGTTTTCCCGACGTGAAGACACAAATATATTCAGGCTAATTTAATGTCGACATGAGAACTGTTAATCTCTTATTGCCTATTACGCAATTACACCCACGAGCCCAAAGGAAACGTTCGCGGGGGGATAATCGTCCAGGATTGTTGGGGAAAATTTTGAACATGATCGTGGAAATTAAAAATGATAGTAATTTAAAAAAAACGTTTTGCTAATCCATTCTTTGAGACATGCACGGCTTAACTCAAACCTGCAGGGAAGCCCTTATGTTGCTTGATGCGTGCCTCGCCACGCTACGGTGGGTGACGTGTGCACCAGAGACAATAACTTTTCCCGACAAATGTAAAATTAAGAAGATATATCGATAAGACTATACTTGAAAACATGATTCTTCTTCTATATTAGACAGTATTAGAAGCTGCTCCGCTGTTCGTGAGCTCCGCGTTTTGCTGACCTCCGGCGTTCCGACATTAACGTGGGCGAGGGATAATGAGCTTTTGCACAAAACGATGCAAAATATCCACGATTCATAGAAACCTCGTTACCCAACGAAGTAAATAAAGAAATCTGAAAAGTTTTAAAATGCCATAACCAGCCGCAGAGTTATGTACAATAATTCCCTAACAGCACGTAAACTGGACGCTTACTTAATGCAAACGGACTACAGTTCATGTGCAACGATATGAATTATTTCTTGAAGCCAGCTTTTAAATAGCTCACGGCCATAGCTTCTTCCGACGAAGAACCAAAATTACTGAAGCGCAATGGATATACAATGAGTTGAAATAGAAACAGGGCCAAATTAGACAGAATTACAGAACTCTGTAAGATACGTTTGGCTCTTCAAAACAGATCTTTGGGATTTTGAATGTTGATTACGTCCTAGACTTAATTTTGGGCTCGATTAGTTCAGGAGACAAAACACAAAAAAGGAAAAGACAACGAGTGGATTGAAAATATACATATTTCAGCGAGCGACTAGGTATCTACTTTAACACTCTTCCTAGATCTGGTTTAA